GCTGACGATCTTCCAGTGTATCACAAGTGTGTCTGCAGGGATGCTCTTTGTGATGGAGGCAAAGCGCTTTCTGTGAGTATCTCTGCTCCAGGAGTAGGCATCAGGGGTTGGTGATCAAATTGGGCACATTCAGATTTGGGCCTAGGATGTGATCTCCTGGATTACTAGTGGGTTTTTCTTTTTCATTTTTTATTTGTTTATATTGAAAAATATAAATTTTGTGTTAATTATGTACAACATGAGTTTTTGAAGAATGTATAGAGATTACTGATACTGAGAAAAAGAAGTCATGGGCTGGATGGGAAATCAAGAACATGTGATACTTGCTACTTGGGGAAAGTTTCAAAGTTGAGGATTGATCAGTAATCCCAGTCCTACAGAGAAAGCATCAGTAAAGGGGCTAAAAAAGTATCTTTTCCTTTTTAGCAAATAACATATTCACGATAATTCTCCAAAGAAAAACTGCAGAAGCTTGATAGAAATTTAAGTGTAGCAGGTTTAGCAGAAAGTTGAATTTGGAGAGATAAATTGACCGTGAATAAGAGCAAATTTAGCCCTCTTGAATGGAGGGGTGTGCGACGGACTAGCCCAGACCGGGGCAGTTCAGTCCGACGGGAACAGGGTCGTCGAGAGGGTGGACAAGGAGTCGGCGAGTGACAAACAGACACAAAGGAGCTTGATGAAGGTCTGAGTGTATTTTTGCAGCTGCAGGGTTTGAGATATATAGAGCAAAGATTGCAAAAGTTCATCATCAGCGTGACTGTTCTGTAATTAGTCACCTTCTAAGATTTTCAGTAAAAGTAAAACAATTTTTCCAACCTTCATATATAGCCAAAACACATTTCTCTATCTTATCAACCTGGTACTAGTCAGCAAACTCCTGCTTTATGATACTATGGTTTCTACTACAAGTTTTTATTATGCACCCAGAACTCTGCTTAGTTTTGTGTTTTCAGGTCAGAATGACCTTAAACCACCAAGTACTTTCAATATCAACTGTGCATGATATTTCATTTTTAACTATTTGATAACATTCCTTGCTTATTTGTAGTGGGCCACCGGGCTTCCAAGTCATTCTTTAACCCCTTAGATCCTAAAAAATCATTTCATGTTAGGGACTTATGAAGCCATCTTTCCCAGCTATTTTTCTAATCTTTAACTACTGTCTGTAGTTGCCTTTTAATGCTCTCTTGTTGATCTTTTATCAAAAGACACCAAGGTGGTCTTAATCTTGCCAATTTATCCATGAATTGTAATGAATACCAAGAAACCCTTCTTCTATCTATATTTACTCATCTATGTCTCTCTTCTAGAAATCTGTTATTCCCTGGACTTTCCAGCATTAATTCTGCTTGACTACTTCTTGTTGCATCTAAAATAGCTTTCATTAATAGCGATGCATCTGGAGGCAAAGTTGTCTCCGGCGATTGAGTTCCTGAGAACTCTTCCTGCATACTAGGATAATTGAAAGATTTTAATAAAGGCAGTGACAGCGGTGCCAAGGACACCAGGTGCTTTCTGGGCCCCTGAAAGTCCATGATACAGTGACAG